TGTCATTTCCCAAAATAAACAAGAATATACCAACTTCTGAGGCTTTGCAGGGATGCGGAGGACCTTCTGACACTGTCATTTCCCAAATTAAACTAGAATATACCAACTTCTCAGCCTTTTTATTGATGCGGAGGACCTTGTGACACCTTAATTTCCCCAACAGGGATCATGAGAGACTCGCCTGGGGTTCAAAACTAGCTAATAGGAGCGGAAAATGTGCCAAAACATGATCATTTCTGTGCTCATTGGCGTGTGAACGTGAGCTAGTAAGCACTGAGACCTGAGACCTCACCTGCGTTGGACCGGGGATGCAGGACAGAACCCTCTCGATGTTCTCCGACGTCACCTCCACGTCGTCCACGGCAACGAGCACGTCGCCTGAGCACAGCATGGAGGAGAGAGAGCAAAGCCTGGTTTTCTCTGGGCCTCTAACTCTGCTAAGATCCAGAGTTTAAGCCCCTTTACAGTGGGGGAAATAAGTATTTGACCCCTTGCTGATTTTGCAGGTTTGCCCATTTACAAAGAATGCAACGATGTATAACTTTAATCATATGTACGTTCTAACAGAGAAAGACAGAATCCCAAAGAAAATTCCAGAAAATCACATCATATGAATTTATAAAAATTGATAACCATCTGATGAGGAAAAATAAGCATTCTTTGTAAGTGGGCAAACCTGCTAAATCAGCAAGGGGTCAAATACTTATTTCCCCCACTGTATATGGTGCCAAACAAATGAGGAAGAGATCAATGTGGGAATACAGAAAGGAGGCCAAATAGATGGAAGAGGGATTCTGAGTCTGCACCTTAAATAATGTCCCTCGGGGATTATTAAAGTATTTCTGATTCTGATAACTGAAATCTATCCCAGTTTGTGACAACGTGAGTTTTTCTGTGGTGACATTTTGACCCCGAATCAAAACCATTTCAGGTATTCGGGCTCTTTAATTGTTTGAGCATGCTGCCGCTCTGCGTTAAAAGCTCCTCTAAACGCAAACTGATGTGGGCAATCAACGTCCACCCCGCAGAGGAGGGAAAAGGCCTTTCGCTTGCTCTGAAAACTCAAATTTCTCAACGAGAGCTGAACCTCTGAACTGTGTCAAACCTGGACTTTTACACCAAGCAGAGGCCTAAAAATCGAGCTCCATCATTCATACTTTTACCACCCCTGACTTAATGTGGTATCTCAGCCTTTTTTTTCACTCATTATTTGGATTTGAGGTGCTTTTCCGTGTGTGTGT